GCATGGAGGCAGCTGATCTACAAGGCATAGACAGTAGACTCTTCGGATTTGAAGAATGCGATTATCAAAACATACGTTTATCTTGATAGCTGGCTAGTTCTGCCATTATTCAACATGTTCTTGTGCACATGAAGCGGAAAGAAATATTTCTATTCTTGATATATACATATCGTAAGCGTTATGAAGGTGCATATAAATATACATTTTTACGATGTCCAGATTAAGGCCAATTCTCACGAATTGCGATACCGAATTCACATGAAACCCGATAAGGCTTATCGTTATTCGTGATTTATCTTTGAGATTCCTTTTGACGTTAATGTGATGAACAAAGCTGTAAAGTATGATTAGATGGCATTTTTCGAAGAACAATTCCGTCTCTTGTTTGAGGACTCTTGATCCTGTGGGAGTTATTTATATCAGAAGTCTAGGTTTGAAGAACTCTTCTTTCAAAGAGCATATCCACTTGTTAAATTTCTTTTCATCGAGACTTAACTTTATTTTTTCATTATGTCTTTTAATAAAATGTAATTCACACTAAAATATAATTGATTACAGTAATTCGTTGTTGAAAATTACATTTTTTGTTGTAAAATATCTAGGAAAAAGGTTTTTTAAATCCCGCTCCATATGTAGCCGAACTGAAAATTTTTAACTTTTAATATAACAGTAAGCGCAATACACCGTCAGAAAAGATGATTGTGAATAATATAAAATTGTTTCAGCGAAGCTTTACAAATTTTTATACAAAGTTATAATATGGTGTATTCAAATACGGTTAAACGAATGAACCAGAACAACTAGGGCAAGTGGCGGCAGCATAGAGTATTGAATATTCTATCGCTCAATGTATGAGCCCTAAATAACCCAGACATCTCCGGGTCTTTGCATACAAGAAATACAGTTCGGAACCAACATTCAAGATCACGCAGAAGGGATCATGAAAGTCTGTGACGTCATACCTATCTAGAAAACTTAAACTTTGGCAAAATAAACATCGTCGTTAACTTTGGTCTTTAAAAAGGTGTGCAGAGAAGTTTTTGGAATTCACGTTTCTAGAATAATTTAATATTCGTAAAACTGCGGAGGTCTTAAAGTCTTATAAGTCAATATCGTAACAGTCCTGCAATTTGTTTATCACGCCATAAAACCGTTTCCAATATACGCACTTGAAAGCTGCAACTAAAAAATTATCTGATATCACTCTTATCGTTAACGAATAATGTGTAGGCAGTAAACTAATTATAGGTGTAAAATTTTTGCGTGACGATACGACCATGAAGAAGTAACGAACGGTGCAATGCAATTCGTAAAAAGTGCGCTCGTTCTCTCTCACTATGGTATGGTTATTTATAAAAAAGGTGTCAAATATTTTAAAACCTTTTTCGATACACTTAACAAATTAGTTTTTACCGAGAGCATAACTAGAGTCTGTCTATTAGTTACAAATATTCCAGGCAAACGTTGTGACATAGGAAACAATTATATTTAAAGAATGTGTTTGCTATACGATCCGAATGGCCGGCGTACAATAACCTATAAAAGCAATTATTATTTATGATATGACCGTCAGGGTTACTATGTATGGGTCACAAACCTTTAGAAGGCCCAACGATTGTTCGTTATCTCTGAACTATAAAGTACGAATACGATCGAACAAGTGTTGTCGAACCTTGTCTAGAAGTGTCAAAATATATGTAACATTTTTAATAATTTAAAATGATTACTACACATAAATACATGCTTAATTAAAATATTTATTTCTTAAAAAATCCAAAGAAATTATCACAAAAGGCTACACTAATTTCAATCTACCCTCTTCTTTCAAAAAAAATACTTTTAGTATTTATCGAATATTTCTAAAAACTCTTACATAACTTTTTATAGAGAATAAAAAAAGAAAATCATCGGTTGCCGTCACGTTCAACTATCTGAGTACTTATTGAGCGCTTATGTCTCAACTGAAGATACGATATCTTTTATAATATGATAAGACTACTTCAATTCTAGTAAGACCATAGATGACGTACTTCAGAACTACCTACACAATCTCTCATTATTGATAATCTTGTTATACTAATGCCAATTGTCGTCATCGATGTAGCCAAGAATGGGCAATTCTAACTGACAGTTTGTCTCAAGATTAGATATATTTTGCTAGGTGCGTTCAGAGGAGTGTTTAAGAATTTATGATGTACAAGTAAGGTAACTTTAAAATATGGTATTTATAACAAAATTGTTATTTAAATAAAACACTTTAACGGTTTAAAACGCGAAATACATTAGTTAAACTTATATGATATTTATTTTAACGTTTCGGTTCTCACGGCCGCTGCAAAGCAACCGAAACATCGGGCCGCAATTAAAATAAGTTTACCTAATTTATATCGCGTTTTAAAACGTTATGGTATTTTATTAAATGTGTACTACTAGCGTAAACTACAGACAGTATTCAGCTAACCAGAACTGTTATATGACAATCTTACGCGTCTAACTTCATCCAAATCAAACCAAGCAGGGATAGTTTTACGAAAAAAGAACTGCTATTTTGGTTTCGTTCATATTAAGTCAGTGTAGTATTTTTTATTATTATAATAAAAACAAATAAATAAATTATGCGCGTTAGAATTGGAATAGCTTTCGTAATCATAAAAAAAACACCGCTGGACTATGGACAAATAAAAGTGTATTTTTATAACACATAAATTTAAACGTATTCTTTACGTACGGCATAATATGTGCAATCTTTCAGCCATTAAGCACGTTATCAAATCAACGCATTTAAATGAAGCTCTGTTGTAGTTGCAATCGGGTAATTATAAATGTTATTAGGGCTTTCAACTGCTAATAGGAAACGCAAGCGAAATATATAAGACAGATTTTAAACATTAAATTGAAATAAAACCTTCAGAAACTTCAAATTGAAAAATATACAACATTTAATTTAAATTAATGAATCTATTTATCTTGAAAATTATGACACGGGTAGGACTTGAACTTATATCCACAGCGTTCCGTGCTGCTGCTGTAGCCAATTAACCCATTTTAATAATCTACTGTCTTCTACCCGTTGTAATCTACCCGTTGTCGTCGAATCTTTTCATAGATTTTTATTTTTATATAATGCCGTCGTGTGAAAAATATTATAGTTTTCAAACAGTTCTTGTTCCAACGAAGGAAAAGGAAAGCAAGTAATATAATATATCTCTTTCTCCTACACAAACACCTAGAATAGGTTTAAGTTGGCTTAGTTCTCCATACATTTTCCTATGACCAGAGCTTCTATCTCCAGTCTAGCCGGTATTTTCCATATCTAATCTATGGTTAAGAATTGAACAATAAACAGCGTTTAAACTCTACACCTAATACTGATAAACTTTGAGAGAGTCTGTATCATTTTATTTGACGAAATTGGTGTTAGGTGATAGAGGAGGTATAGGTTAAATAAAATTCTCGATCTGAATAAAAAAGTGCGCCGCTATTTTGATATTTAAATAATGATCAACGGACTCGCATACAATAGACATGATACAATGCCTAATTTTAACCCAAAAAACGCAGATGTGGTCCAAGCATGACGCACACCACTCACGCGGTGAAAAATTAAGTACATAATAGGTACGGTTTAAAATATACCCTCAGGGACGGGAATCGTAACAGTAAGGTAATCTCAATGACCTGTGACTATCGTGATGAATAGGAAATCGGTATTCGAGCAAGGTGAATCCACGACCTAGCCACTTCTTACACATTCAGTGTTAGCCTACCACAACTATATTAAATTCAATGCTCTAGATAGGGCTGTCGCGACCACAGCATTGCATTTGTTCAGGAGATAGTTATATGAGAGGCAACCCTGAATTACGTCACGCGATCTTTGAAATGTGGAAGTTTCGTCACTTGCCAAAGATGTACACTATTTAGCTGTTATTGTCCGCCGTTCATCATTATATGACGTCACGTAGAAGCACGAGTGACAAGACGGGGTAAAAAATCACGAGATCCGTGTGACGTAATTTAAGAACGACCCCGCGGGATTCACGTATTCCAATGTAATCAAAATGTCAAGCGGTTGGCAGCCCTAGATAGTTACGTGGTGATTCAGGTCATTCAATTAGTATTCGTAATAACTAGAATTTATGTAATACAAGTGTTCATGGCACTCTACAATGATGATACACTTAACAAAAGCCTGAAGTACCTTCGGACACCAACTAGTGCCAGTCTTTGCTTCTCAAATGAAATAAACAGATATACTAAATGGTGATCTGCCTTTTACCGCTACGCTCCAAAAATAATCTCTCATTTGGTCCCCTTCAGACCCGAACGGTACGTGAAGTTTGATAAGGCCCGAAGGTACAAAATTATGATCTGAAAGCATCTCAAAAATGTTTGTACAACCCTGTATATTTTAATTTAATTTAGAATGCGAAGTTTAAAAGGCAATCGTAGAAAACTAAAAGAGAGCAGAAACCTAGAATTTAAATCTGTATCAAAATTTAATTAATAGTACATATTGTAAAACAAACATTCTATATCACAAGTTATTATGCAGTTTTATTATCGGGTGGTGAACAATGGATTCATGATGGATCTTAGCCTGTCTTTTGTGTTCCACATGTGATGTGTCATCGAACGAATATTTTTCAGTTATCACAACATCAACGAGTGCCAAGACATATTCTTTCAGCTTTAGACAATGACCTGTCAAGCGATCTATACCAAAATTTGCCTACTCCAAGTAATTATGGCAGATCATTGGACAATAAACCTCAAAATAGGATACAACAGCCGACATATTATTTTCAATTATAAACATACAAAACTCTTTAAAACAAGAATAACAAGTATCCACCATCCATTACAAAACTATAAATAGGTAGCCATTAAAATAAAAACTTAATACTAAAATACTCATTATAAACTCACGTTTAACTGTGGCACTGAAGGTCACTCATTACAAACATAATCACCAAATTAAAGCTTTGATAATGGGGTACTCAGAATTTGAGTTTGGGCTTGAGCTCGTGAGCTCGTCCGCCCCAGTCCAGCCGGTAGCTGCGAGCTCTCCACGATATCTCGGGTCGAAGCACGGCGGTCGCCAGGACCAGTGGCGCGCAGCATTCGCTCCATACCCACGCAAGGAGGAACTCCACTTTCGTGAAGGGCGGCGACCCATTCTGCACAGAGCGTAGCATGAGCCAGTCTGACAGAAACCACACTAGCACATGGACAAGAAAGAACGGTAGGGGCTCCGCGCCAAAGAGCTGGCCGGCGGCCCACGCTGCACCGGCTCCTAAGGGTAGACATTCACTAAGTGGCTCAAGCAGAGCCGTCGTGGGCACCATAGCTATCCTCAACCGCGCCCATCTCTTCAGCCTCGCCTGCAGGCCACCTATCGATTTGTCTCCAGAGTTTTGAAGCGCCGGGAGCGACGCGACGCGCAACCGCCACCCGCGTGACAACACCGCTTTCGCCATGAAGAAGTCCTCCGCCAGGAACTCCCCAAATGCAGCCAGCCCCCCCGCCTCTTCAAGCGCGCACCGCCTCATCAGGGAGGACATACCCACGTGACAGTTGATCCCTAAGAAGTCTGCCCCTAGGTACATGCGCGCCTGCGCAGTTCCAAAGTACACTTTTTCGTAGACGGCAGCGAAACCGTCCGCGTCGTATGTGAACGGCATTTGGTGCACTATCGCCACGTCCTCCTTCATATGCTGCACCATGTCCAGGAGAGTGTCGTCTCGCATGCGAATTCCCGAATCACTAACTAGTATTAAGGGGTGCTTAGCTGCCATATATGCAGGGTGCATGTTGTTGATCTTAGGGTTCACGCCGACGCGCATCCCGCTCACGAAATACCTTGCGTCCACCTGAGGATACTTGTGAATGAGGCTGTTGACCAGCATCAACGCCGGATCTTGTTCATTTTCCACGCAGAACAAAATCTCGTAAGTCGGATAGTCGAGAGTGAAGAACGTCTCCAAGTTCGAAAACAGGTTTGGATCGACACCGGTGAGCGGTTTTAAAATCGAAACGCCGGGGTACGGTTGCTCCGGCGGGGAGCGGTCTACAGTCCGATGTAATTTCCACTTTGAATACGAAAAGGCCATTATATGAATTAACCACAAACACACCCACGCGACAATGAAAAATATGGCAAAACCATACACTGTATACACCATGGGAATCATAATTTAAAATTCCTGAGTCTTTTTTGCGTTCCGGCCACATAATATCGACTGGTTTCGGGATTTAAGCCTTGCGCTAGGATTCGATCATAGCACTGAATACAATTGTTCATTAGCAGTAAAAAATCTCCCGTTTAGCACGACTGGAATAACGAAGCGAGCGTTCTCTCGACATTTTCATTTAGCGAACATTTTAAGAGAGTACATATCCATGACCGAGAATAGGCGAACACGGGAGAACAATAAACTTTACAAACTGCAATCGACATTCCCCGCCCGTTATGTCAAATTTCAATAATTATTCTAGGTCAACTGTCACCTCTGTCATCATTCATTACAGAAATACAAGCCACCGTGTCATTGAATATAACGTCTGTGGTTGTATTATTTTGCACGAAATAAAATCAATTTCAAAACAAATAAAATTAATTTCAAACAAATTATCTCTTGTTATCTTTTTACAAATTATAATTATATAACTTGTAGTGACATCTTTAAGTGTATTTGTGGTGGCCCTTTTTTTAAAAGTCCCCCCACCGTGATGATATTGGCAACACGAAATCTCTTTTTTTATACATGATATATTGTCTATTAATTTTATAGCGGGAATTCCGGAAAGACTAAACTTCTGTAGTTTTTCACCACAATTTTTCAAGGAACCGACATGGATATAAATAATTTTGTTAAAAATGTAAATAGTTTAGACACGTACATTTCCCTCGACAGCGATGTTATGTTTAATAAATACTTGGGTCTGACACCTTCATTGGATGTAGACACCATCGATGCAATAGAGAAAATCAAGTCTTTAGAAGTTCAGGTAAATCCTTTGAGGAGAAATAAATTCGTTGCACATATTTTTTTTAATATATATATTATGCTTTCAGTACTTTCTAAAGTACCATGTCAACGGCGCAGCATTTAAAATGCTTGAAAACATACTGTCTGTACCTTCCGCAAAAACTTGGAATATAATTGGCAAAAATTGCCTGGTAATATTACAGTCTTGGTTTTGTGCTTTAAAAAACCAAATTATGCACCAAAATGAGCACTGGTGGATATTCTTGCTGTCATTATTAAAGCTGATGAAGGTAAATTCTATTATTCACCTTTTTTATTGAAATATATTTATCATCAAAGAAATTACACCTTTTTGAAAAACAATTTCAGATTTTAAGGACGAAACATACTACACTTGATAACCAGATAGTGCAAATTCTTGGCAAAGATCTATTATATGTAGCCACCCAAGAGAAGCTTACCCAGAACCAAATGTTTGAAGTGATACAAGTATTCAATACCTGCAGTGCTGGAAGTACTAGAGAGCTTAGATTCTTCTTGAAAGATAGTTTTAATCAATATTTGTAAGTATTTTTTTTACCCTACTTCATTATAACATGAATTTTGGTGTGTCAAAGGTTAGTTTAGATTACTACACTTGTTTAGATACTTCTATGTGTTTTACATCTTAATATTATTTACTGTATAAAAGACAAATTTTAGATCTAAATCATCAAACATATTTTCCCTTTGAATTTAGCGGGATCAAAATGTTTTGCTAAGCTTTACAAGTATAATATAATATCCTGGAGATTTAATTTTTTTATGGCAACGTTCTGTTTTCCTCTTACACTAATATTACAGATTTCACAACATTTGATGAAAGCTGTAAATTTTTAAAATTAAATTTTAAGTCAAACACTCTCCTGTATATTTGCAGTGTCAAGTTGTCACATACAATTATAAAATGTGGTGACTTTCATATACAAAATAGTATTGTTGAGACTCTGATACGGTGGCTACTGCCTCGTAAGGAACTATCGGTGCGCAGAGATGCAGCAGCAAAGTGGTTTCCTGAGAAGATGTTCTCAAAGAGTGCCATTGATCTCTTCTTGAGTACAGATTGGAGGAATTTTTTTCAGGTTTGCTGTATTAATGTGTATCTGTTTTAGGACAAACCTTTAGGAATAATGCTTAAGTTCAATTTGAACTTCAAAACTTTGGGGAAAAATTGCGTTTCTAATGAATATTAATTCTTTTGTTTAGGATTCCAGAGCTTTTCTCAATGCACAAAACGAAGGGAATGAATTGGTCACATCTGTACAGTGCAACGGAATGACTATTGGTAGCATGGAAATAATATCTGTAAGTTTTTTTACATTCATTAAAAATAATTTAATAGCTCAGCTAATCTCGTGGAAAGAGATTTATTGACTACCGTCGGACAATGAGTAAAACAATGAAACGGTTTTAATCGCGAAATTTGTCTGTTATCTTATTTTTAACTACAACGAATATATTAGTTACTAACTTAACTTATATTAGTTGCATTGTAAACCGTCAAGTGTTTAATATTTTGTTATTTTAACGCTTTTTTTTAATTTGGTGTGGAAATTTTTATTCTTTAATATTGTCTGTAGTTTACGCGAGTACACATTGAACACTTAAACGGTTTAAAACGCGATATATTTTAGTTAAATTTGTTTGAAAATTATGTTCAACTACGACACGAGGTTTCCCCGTGACCGCGGCTGCTGCAAAGCATCCGAAACGTCGGGCCGTAATTAAAAATAATTTTAAAGTGTTTTATGTAAATTTTTGTTCTTATTTATGATATTTATTGCTTTTAATGTATTGTATATACTAATTGGTTAGAGTGTTATTATTTGTTACTATCGCCTTGGACTCTCTCTCTTATGACAGTTGATATTTGTAAATAAATAAATAAATTTTCTTTTTTTTTAGTTGAGAGGGAAAAAAGTATGGCTCGATTTCAATTTGGGTAACCGATGCATTACGCTGATGTTGAGCCATTCATTGCTGGAACTGCTCGGAACAAGAAACTCCATTTCTGAAGCAATAGTCATAGCGGAACGTAACGCTACATCAGCGAAAATGATGAAGTAAGTTATTTTCGTAACTAACTTAATTTAAAATCGAACCTAACGGCTGCTGTGAAACATCTTAAATGTCGGGTCGTAGTTAAAATATGTTGCCACTACAATTGATCGATATTTTTTTGTAAATAAATTTTTATCCTAGCGGTTTCGACTGTTGACGACAGTGTATAGGAAACAGGCCTAATCTGCGTTCAGGTTTTTCCATAATAATGTATATATCCAGTTTCATAAATGTAATTTTTTTTACGAACTGAATAGACAGCGGGAGCTATACCCTGGGGTTAGACTGTGGCTGGGGTATGATTCGTAGTCAAGTCAAAACAAAGTAGTCAAGTCAAAAATCAGAATAATTTATTCACATAGATAAAGGCGCACTTATAAACGTCACATCAGTAAACTAAAGATTAAAGTTAGTCTTATGTATGTAGTTTCAGCTATACACGATAGAATTCACTAGTATATTTCAAACCAAATCATTTATCCCAAAAAAAAAGCAAATATATAATAAAATAGATGTGAAAGGATACCGATTAGCTTTTGTTAAACCTGATAGTGGGCAGTACTTCTATTTTCGGTGAAGCCTTTCTTTCCCATCTCTATTCTTTTTCTTTTCTTTTCTTTTTTTAACTTGTCTGCCGGCCTGCATACAGTCGTTTGGTGTTCAACCACCTTTTACCACTATCCACAAAATCTCCATGAACCCATAGGGAGACTTGGCAGACGCGGGCGGAAGTGATTATTTGCTCTTGACCCGCTGCCGTTGACCACCTCTCCCAAGTTCCACGTGCCAGGTCTTCTTCGTCGGAGGTCCTGGCATTGTAGAAAACGTGTAGGCTATTGACTATCCCTGCCACGAAGGTCGGCATGGATAGGTCTGACTTGTATAAACTAGTCCAAACTAATTTATTTAAACATCATGTATCATATTCCCCTCTGCTCCAACATGGCTTTTGTTTTGATTCCCTATTTCAATAATTTTGCATCCATGCGTTCGTTTATGTTATTTTCTTTTCCCAGTTTTTATTTTTATTATTTTGATATAGAGAGAAGACGCTTGTAAAACTAGCCGTATCTATTGAAGACCCAAGAATGCTCCATCGTTCAAAAATCCTAGCAGAAGCAATGTTGACGGAGAGACAAGTTATAATATATTTGAACGGAGAAAGCGCTCTCAAAGTTCACAAAACATTGCAGAAGATATTTGAACAGAAATATGAGGTATATTGTTTTATGATGGTCCTATTTTGGCTTTGGATATTCGGGATCACAGTCTAAAACCAAAAATAATAAAAAAACTTCTTTCTCTTTAAACATTAACAAATTATTATATTTTACGACTTTTTTTATCTGTGGACGGTGGTTCGTGATTGGAATTTCGATATTCCTATACCCATTTGATTTCCAGATGCGTAAACGGAAGTGTTTCAGAAAAAGTCTAAATTGATTAGAACGTTTTGGACCCGTTCAAGATCAAACCCACGACCCGTCGACTATTCCCCATACATTACTATAAGACCAACAAGCTCGTCAAAAATATATAAATAAGCTCAATTAGGCATGACGATAAAAAAATTTACAATGAAAGACATCCAAAAAACGACTTAGTTTACAAGCAGACTATAGCCTCATAAACTACTTACTGGAAACATCTTATTATTTTATTTCATTTATCTTTCCAGTTATTATGGTTTTAATAGTATTTACTGAATTTCAAACTATGTTACCTATATAAGTAAAATATGAGTGGCATTTTATTTGAACGTGATGCTTTTTGTTGCTTTGTGTAGAGTTAATCGAAGCCCTTATGCGGTTTCCAGGTACTTTTCAATATAGATCAACTGAAAACTGAACAAGGGGGTCACACTTTGGAGAATGAGATATCGGTGAGCTATGATTGTAATTGTGTTACTTTTCATTGAATCCACATTTTTGCTATAGGCATTGTGAAAATAATTCGTTTTGTTTCTGTTATTTTAAGTTTTGCCAATGATGGCAATATACACTTTGATATTGCTATCATGGCTTAAATTGTTTTGGGCGTCAAAATTTGTTTTTGCAAACCTCTTCCACACCTTTATAAACTTCGAGCTGCGTCAGCGACTTCCTCCACACATAATACTGTTTTAAGGCATCGACAATCTTCTTTTTGCAAACCACCTCATCTTTATAATTTTAAGTGTATTAAGTACCCAAGATGTCGGTCACGTCCCGTCGTTCTTGCAAGTTAATCTTTAAAGATAGATATATAGTGTCGCCGACATGTTTTAGATCGTTTAATGTCACGGGGTGGGGGGAGGCGAGGAGGGGAGCATGTTTTTATACATATTTTAAGGTACTGGGTCATGGGCAACTTTCCCCCGTTTTTTCCTTAAGTCCCGCTGTTTTTTCGCATAGCGCCATGTTTAATAGCCTCTAACTATCCTGAAACAACCAACCAAAATTTGAACCAGTAGTTTCTGATATTAGCGCGTTCAAGCAAATAAACTCTTCAGAATTTGTTTGCTTGACCTCACAAATTAAAAATCCCGCGCGAAAATAACAGACTAAAAAGCACAGATAATTTAGTGCCCCGTTAACAGAGGGCGCTTTGTGACCATAGGATTCAATACTCAAAATTTCACTGTCATTTGATTTATACCACTGTGCCGTCAAATCTGTCAGTGTCGCAAATATTTTCCTCTAAGTAATATTAAAGTAAAAATAAAGTAAGAATTTTCATTATTATTACGAAAGTATTAAAACCTCATCATTTTCGTTGACGTTCTGTTATCACCATTGCATCAGACAATTTGCAAGATTAAATTTGTACTATAATAGAGCGGGTAGTTATTAAAAATATATTTGATTCGTCGTTTTATTGTTCAGGACGAAAAGAGGAGGGTTCCTCAACAAAAACAAGTGAAGTGTCGGAAAGGTACGCGGCTTATTTACAGAAATTTGTTGAAATATGTATATTTGTAATGTACTATTTATTCTGCATTAGTATTTTTATATTTGGCATAATGGTGATATTAGTGAGACGACGTATTTATTATCTTAGTTTTTATTAGTTTTTAGTAATTCGTTTTAACTAAATTAAGTTATTATTAATATCTTTATCCCCTTTGTTGCATGCGAAGTATCAGGTTACGAGATACGGTGTAGATGTAGTTAGTTATATACTTTTAAAAGTAATAGTAAATTTAACGGTTTAAAACGCGAAATATTTTAGTTGACTTATTTTTTACTGGGAACCAATGCTCCTCGTGTTTTGCAGCAGCGGTTTTTGAATAATTAAAAAAAAACAGTCATATTTCGCTTTTCATACCGTAAGCAATTCATTTAAACGTCTGCTCGCGTAAAATGCAGATATTGTGTAGATAAAGGTTGGGAATTGAAGGGTATTGGTTACAACGACACACTTTAATAATTGTAAAAGTTGGCCGTAATAATTTTATGGCTAATAATCAACGGGATGTGGGTCTAATTTCCACCGGGTCCGATATGTTACATAAATGTTTTTTTTTTTAAACATCGGGATTAAAAACCATTGTCCAGAAATGGAAAAGCCGTGAAATATTGCGGTCTGTTTTCGACTTTAGTCTGTGGATTTCAAAACGTAGCCGTGTAGCTCGACAGCGCATCTTGTTTAGATGTTATATTGCTGGGGTTTTGAACCGTCCACGATAATGAAATTGTATATCGGGTTTACAGGTGTGGTCTCAACATCTCGAGAGATACCGTCGATGCGATCTCCATCTACCACATCGACGACGTCACTAGCTTTGGTAAGGACCTTATAATTTTCGTGACGTTGTATAAGTTAAATTAATTATTATAAATAAATTTTCATTCCCCATTTCATTTATTTACATTTTTACAAATATATGTTACAATATACTAGCTGTGTCAGCGACTTCGTCGGCGAGAACCGTTATTTTGAGCATCACAATACGTTTTTTCAAACACCTTCATCTTTATAAATTAAAGCTGTTACCCACCATGTCCCTTTCCGTCGTTCTTGCAAGGTAATCTTAATAGATAGACATATAGCATTGCGGATAGATTTACAAAAGATAATTTAAAGAGAACTCTTTCTTTCATATACATACATTTTTTTTGGTATCTTGAACCGATATTGCTGCGTACGCCTCAGATATCCCTAATGATGAGAATAATTTTCCCAATTTTTTCACACCGTTCGCTATATCTGCTACTTTTATTAGTCACAGGACGATTTTTTATAGCCTCGATAAATGCTCTAACCAACGCAAAAAGAATTTCAATTCAAACCCGCAGTTCCTGAGATAAGCGCGTTCAAACAAACAAACTTACTCTCCAGCTTTATGTATTAGTATAGATATTGACACATTACCAGTGCCATTTTGTCCACGTAGAATAGTATTGTTTTTAAACGACTGAATTAAATAGATTTGGCTGATTTGGAATCGAGGACTAGACCGAAATCATGTGACCATTTTAAAAGAACCTTCAATTTCTTCTCAACTTTCATGGTTGCTCTCACTGTTGAGCCGGCGTTGACAAGACAAGTGTCATCTGCGAATTGAAATATTCAGCAATGTTGTATCGCGTTAGACTGCTTACATATTAAGGATAGTCCGAAGGTCCAGAAACAGAACTCTCTTCCCAGTTACGTTTACGAGATCATTTTAAGTGTTACATACTAACCTTGTACACTGTCGATACCTATGTAATAATCACGAAATGATAATCTTTAAACCTTATATGATAATTAGGGTACCAGGAAGGTTTCCTCTGATTCTTCGACGTCTAAACTAACTTTGTATCAGTGTATCATGTCTAAAAGTATCAAATGTAGTAGATGCCCTACAGTAGTCTACTAAGACTACTAAGACATGTTTCTTGTTTTGCAAGTATTTATATATACGGTTTGTAAGATAAAATCTGTGTTGTATTTTACGCGATTTTCGCAAATTCTTTGTATTTGACCACATATATATTTTTGGCTAATTTTGACAATACATAGTTGGTAAAATAATTATGGGTCGTTATCATTGTGGTCTGTATGGCAACCTTTTTTATATCGTTAGCGATAAACGTCTTCAGCAATGTAGGATATTATCCTGTTTAAACACTAGTGTTGATTAGATTGAAAACCTTTTTTTTAGTTCCTTACATTAGAGTTTAATGTTAATAGCTCGTATTTTATCGTAGCCTGGTGCTCTGTGCGTGTTTATCGACATTATTTTTTTTCTACTGTACTCGAATTCGCAGGCTTAAAGCGTATGTCTGCTGCTCTCTGTCTCTCTGTCATTAAAAACTTTAACCAGTACACCGCAAATATTTAAACCAGGACCGATTTCATTAAACTGCCACAGATTCTACGCTTGTGAATGTGATTCTCTCTAAACTTTAGCCAAAATTTTGATACGCCCACATTCCTTGCAATCTGAAATTGCATGGATGAGACTTAAATAGAATTCTATTACCTAATTGTGTATTTAATTCTAATTTCAGTTACGGGAACAATTAAAACTTTTTCAAGCCGGGCCCTTCGAGAAAAGAGACCGTCCCTGCGCAGAAAGAGCACCGAACCTCTCTGCCATAAGTGAAGTCAGCGAAACTAGCGAAAGACAAAATATAAGCGAGGCAAGTACGCGCTTAATAAAACCACGCTGTGGAGTTGCCCACGCACAAGAGGGAGGGAAAAGTGAACCTTCATTCGTATATCACGACGGAGATTCTAACAGTTTTCTACTAGTGGCCACTGTGGATTCCAGTGAAGCGAATGATATACTAGATAAACTGCCTAAAAATATAACCACTGATGAGTTTATGGCTCAAGAGTTGCAGAGTAGAGAAATTCAGGATAAAACAATGAAGGATAATGTTGATGATAATATGAATGAAGTTACTTCTTTGGGATTTTCGCAACAAACGAATGTTGACGATATAGTTGAAGGTACTCCTGTAGATTGGATCACAAAACGAAGGAAACATCCGCCGGTGTCATCGAAAGTAAATAAGACCGAATATGATGAGCAAGTCGTAGAGAATTTCTTCGCCCAACATTTTCGCCAAGACAAAGATGGCCAACTTATCATCAATCCCACTGTAGAGCAACGAGTCAACGATCAGAGATCGCATTCTGGATTCGTCCAGGCTCCATCCTACGATACACGAGAAGAGTTGGTAAATACAAACGCAGTCGAATGCGTCAACAGATTAAACGATAAAGTTCCTGACGATCCAAAATATGACTTTCCTCAAATCGATCATGAATGTCTAGACGTTGCCAAGAACTTAAGTACCGAAGCCGACCTTCATGCCACTAATAAAACCTCAAAAAAGAAACCTACGAAAAGTGTAAATCCTACAAAGAAAAAAGTTAAGGGAGCAAAAATATCAAAAGGGTTGAAAGCGAAGAAAGGAAAGCTGCAAATGGAAAGATTGAACGAGGAGAATAATAACAATAAGAATACACCAAATAATGAGGATACTCATAAAAGCAGACGACGCAAACTTTATTCCCCCAGAGATTCAATTACCTTCAATGAAAAGACTGGCGCAGTTGTACCAGAATCTGAAGATTCCGAATTTAAGGGAACGCCTAAATTCTCGGTGTACAGGGAAATCCAAAATACACGGAGATCTATAAGAAATAAAAGAAACATTAATACGAAGGCGCTACTTTCTCCCAATTCCAAACGGCTCAATGAAATCTTTGACAATCTACTCGGCGACCGTGTAATAGATAAAAATTCAAAAGGAACGAAAAAGAAAGATCTTTCTATTTATAATTTCAGCACCGACAGCGAAGACGAGTTTCAGTCAAGGCAGCAAATTTCTTCAGGTAACTCAAAAACAGCTTCTAGATACCGGCAATGTAAGCGAAAATCTAAACCGAATAAAGCTCCTCAAAGAAAGGCTACAAGAAAGAAAACTGTAAAAGATAGTATTGGTTATACTAACGAATTGATTGATGAGAGAAAACGTGCAGCAGCAGAAGTGAATTTAAACGCTTCTTTAGTTGTAGAAAAACCGGCAGAGATATGTGACAATATCGAACCTATTATTACAGTCTCGCCTCAGATCGAAGAGCTAGAAAAATTGCCTGATAAGCGAAAAAACATTTCCAAAAGAAGAGCTAAGAAGAAAAAAAAAAGCATTAATAGTAGAAAAGAAGACACACGTGATACAGAAGAAAGCATTAGCCCAATGCTAAATTATGAAGCGATACCTAAGAAAAAGGAATTCAAAGATTCCATAGACGCTTTTGAGAAATCTCGAAAAGATTCTTCGCCTAGCGACTCCATGGTTGATATAACAGAACTTATTAAATCAACTAATGCGCAAAGCGATGGAAATTCCAGTGATTCCCCACACTTTGAAACTGTAGAGGCTACTGTTTATATTGAACCTATTTCGGCCCCAAAGACACCAACTCTTCATTATAAGAACCAGCTCTCGTTTCCAAATAATCCTATTGAAGATGCAATAGAAGTAATCAATGACGCTCCCGATGTGACAAAATCTATTTCCGTCCAAAACCAAAGTTTGCGAAAACTAGACAAAAACAAGGATGAAATATCTGAACTGCCAGAGCCTCGCAAAATAAATAATACTGATGTAAGTCTAGTGCCAGCTAATGTTTTCAAGGCGAAAGCGGGGATAAACTCGAACAATCTCGATGAGCATACTTGTAACAATTTGGCAGTAGTAAAAATCGTTCGTCTGACACCAGAGCAAATACATTCGAGGACACAACGTAACCATAGCAACGGCTCCAACGAGAGTGGTGCCAGACAAAATGTTTACCCGCGTAATACTCGCTCGGGTACACGTATTAGCCAAACTAGTATTATATCTCCCATTCGTTCGTTCGAACACAGATATGACCTGCGTCAGAAGTCGACTCCCGAAGCGAGCGAAATCTATAAGCCGTGTTCCAAAAAGGATCGCAGAGGTTCAGCCAAAACATCTAATACTCCCAGCAACCCTGAATGTGCTAGTCCAAAAACCAGGAAACAAACAGTACACACGCCCCCGGTTAAAAGACTCTTTGTGTCTCCCACGGGTTCAATAAGCTCTTCGAAATCGGGAGAAGTTAATAATTCCCAGTCGGAAAAGAGGAAACGGAGGCATTCAGTAATTATGCCTTCGCGCCCGAAGTCAGTGAGACCTCGCAAGGATTCTACGAGCTCTTCGAATTCGGGGGAAATGAATACTAATAACAAAAAGAGGAAACGAAGTTCAGCCTTAGGTTCAGATAAAATACTCGCAAGTTCCGCTTTAAACGAATCCGATTCAGGTATGTTTAATAGGATACCACCCCCCGGAAACATTCAATTCAAGCCTTTTGGAGAGGTGGATGATGCGCGTATAGTTTCGCCAGCTCAACAAGACACGCCCTCTAGAGGAAATTGTTTGGAGCCAAGTACAAGCTCTCAGGATAACTCTCCAAAGAGTTGTAAGTTTAAAAGTGTTTTCTTTAAAGCTTTCATTTATCCAATAAAACTATAGTTTATTCTATCTTGCAAGTAGGTCGTGAAATAAAAATAGTTTAGCATATAAAAATAAAAATATATAACAAGAGGAAAATTTAATATGAAGTGGAAGATCAAATGTTTACTTGTTTCAGCTGATATGAATCCACGAAGTGTTCTGCAAGATATTCTTAAAAAAGTAATTGAGAAAGTACAGAGCGACTTGGCGCAAAGAGACAAGATGCTTGCAAGCAAGTAAGAATTATTTAATTTTTATCGTGGTCGCGGGTTCTGGATCTGGATATTAGATGGGTAGTAGAAATATCGATCTCGATGGAAAACTGTTAAGTGTTAAAAAATCCGAATGTAGAGAGACAAAATAGGTCGATATCGCATGTCGTTAAGATGCTCTATGTCTGCGTGTATCACTTTTCATCGAGTGAACTCCAAGCTAATATGCTTTCCTTGGTCATAAAAAATCTACTTATCTGTGCACCAATATATTTATAGCTCATTTAATCTTTTTAGATTCAAACGTCTTCGCTTGAACGCGCAAAAGTTAATAGATGCTGCGCAGGCGCAGCGCCAAGAGATTTATTTTCAAACAGGCATAAGCGTTTTAAAAGTTGTCCAGTCAGTTCTTAGTGATAAATTTAACGAGATGAATTGCCAGTAAGTAAAACAAGCTACTCTAGTCTTACCGAAACGAGTTAATAGGAATAAAAGGTGATTTGATTGGTGATTGATGAGTGAGGCCCATTGTTTTGTGTCATTATCGTGTGCGATCGTGGGAGAGAGACAACACTAGAAACTCGATTCGATGAATAGAATATATTATATCAAAACTACCTTTCTCACTTGATTTACGTAAAAAGCGCCGTTAAATATTCATAAATGAAATATGTATAATAAAAGTAAAAGATTACCGTACTGAATGTACCACTGGTTAATATAACAATAACGTTGCATGTGTATGGTATAGGGTTTATGGATCGTAGCATAGTACAGCAACTTACCACCACTGATCGGACACAGAGAAATGTCTGTTGTTCTCATGTGCAGTAGAAAATGGGATTTAACACTGTTTACCTTCTAGGTGCATAGAAAACGAAGATGAAACCATGAAGAACTTGCTGTCAAAAGAAGGTATAGAGAAAATCTTAACTGAAGATAGACGAAGATCAGAGGAACTCTTGGCATCATTGATGCAGGATGTCATACGTTATACTAATAGTATTTGAGGTATATTGTGAAGTTACTCCGATTTTCAAGCTGGTGGTGAAACGTATTTCACAATTGCCTAACAGCTTGAGAAGCTACTTAAGCTTTATTTTTTAGTTTTGTACAGAACGTCTCACAGCTATGCCGCGTCGAGCGAGGTACGGGTATAAAATGCGTTCATATATTTACAATAACACATTTGAGAAAAACACTTCTATATTTCATGTCTCATTTTGACAAATGACATTTAATAACGAAGTACATAATATAACTAGATCAGTATGGACGAAATTTATCTAAGATACCTATATAGAAGCGTAAGATTTAATAAAGTAACTGATTAGAAGTCTAACGATTAAATGAATTTTTAAAGTTAAAAAATGTCTTAAGTGACGTATTTCCATTACCAATGGTACAAAATGTACCGTGGCGTAGCTGTTGGGCATCCTGTATATATTTGTAGAGTTTTTCGAACCAGGAACGTTGAGAACACTGTTGTGCCCCTGTGCCTATGTCTGTGTGCTATATCTATTCCTATTCAAAGGCTGTCTATAGCTTAAAGTATTTAAGGTTGTTGATTACATTGATTGTCATCTATCTAAAAAGTAGATTTAATATTAAGATATATAATTTTTATTTGATTTTCTTTCATCCTATAGTCTCTGTCCTAGATAGCAGGACTAGTATAACATATAATGTATTAAAAAAAAATTTATTGACTATAATTAAAAATATAGTCCAATTAAATTTAAGAAAGCTTTGAGTTTATTACAGTGCAGGGGATCTCTAGCTACGATTCATTATTCGAAATTAGTTAATAGGGCGCTGTCCTTCCACAATCTCCTATAGTGAAGAGGGACACACAACGACTAGTGGGCGTCAACCCTTTAGCATTAACTCAAAGTCTGTTAATAGGATTGTAATTTTTTTTCATTACTTGATTTAATAGTTTCCCCTAAAAGTACAAATGTAACATTTAAATAAGCATAAATTATTCTAAATATAAAGTGTTCTTTATTTTTATACGCGGCGTTATTTATTTTTAAATTCAGTTTTGGTCATTAGAAGTAACAGTCAACAGGTTAAGATATAAATTATAATGATATTAATTACAGAGGTGAAGAATTATAAATTTACAGTATACAGTAGTCTAGTTAGGCGCTTGCAACTTATTCAATACAATATGCGGCAATGTATGTGTTCCGTCACCAGGTCTATTTTAAGTGAATTTGACTTTTCTACATATTGTACATAAGCATATAAAAGACAAGCAATACATTAAGCTTTAGGGGGGGGGGAAAAAACACTTTTTCTAAATTCCGAAAGTAACACCTGTCTAGCATGTTTTAACCTACGTAGCGTCACATTTATCTGACTTTAGCCCATGAAAATAGTTTTACACCATATTTCGGCTTGATCACGCTTAAGTTTTATTTATGAGATCGTCGCAGCATAGTTCGAAGTTTTAATAAGATTATCAGGGCCCACATCTGACCCTTGAGGCACTCCAAATAGGGGAATTCACAATGAACTTGTCCTATTTTTTATATATTACTTAATCATAAATTATATGTCATAATAGATAAACTTTCCATATACTTGATTTCTGCAGTTTTAACGGTCTACGTTTTGCTTTTATATATTTTCTTAAGCTTTTAAACGAAAAGCGAATGCTGAGCTTTTATAAAATAAAATAATAGGTAACATGTAATTTAAATAGGTTTTAATCCAACCATTGCATACGCATTACAAACGTCATTTTCCCATTGTTCTGTCATCTTACGCGTGACGTACACTTCGTTTGTCACTGTCAATGTCCTAATCACTGTCCGAGGCAGTGGTGGGTTGGCACTAGGACTCTTCCTGTCCCGCGATCTGTGCCAAGTATATCTGTTGGGGTGCATGCTGCGCCTGCGACGACACCTGTATGTAAAAGCAGGATATATAGTTATTGAATTCGTTATTATGTTTAAATTAAATTGTATTTCGTAAGTTAGCAGAACCCTGATTCCAGTCAGAGGCAAGTGGTTTACCTGTCGAGCTAGGTAAAACAGAGACAGACTACTATTTCTTTTGTGACAAAAGCCAACTAATTAGCTGTATTATAAATATAAAGAAGTGTCACAATACTTATTAGTCTTTGTGAATACTAATAAGTTTGTGCCATCATTTTTGTTAATAAAAACTCTGTTATTTTTTCACCATTTTTATCTTTAGTTTGTGCACAGAGAAATTGAGTTTTAGTCAAAAGTATAAATGATAAACGCAGGGGGCATCTTTCAAACAATTACCTGTATAATCTGTGGAGCCTGCTGCTGCTGCTGCGCTTGCGGCTGGGCTTGAATAATAATGGGCGTATTCGGGTTGTTTTGCATCTGAAGTCGGATCATGTTCAGCTGAGACTGCGTCAGTAGAATCTGAAAAAAAAAACACTTTACGTGAGAAAAACTCAATATGCAACTCAACAGTTCTCTACAGGCTATTCTTAACTTAGACCAAGGTAAGAAGTATCTTGGTTGCTTTAGCAAATACACTAATGTGTAGGTTATCAAGATCAAGAATGATTTATGAGATAATTCTCATAAATCATCCTTGATCATAACTTGATTACCGTTTCTTTGGGTGACTGCTATTAACAATATAGTCACTAACCGGTACATGTTGCACCTCTCCAGCCGAATTGACCACTTGATGCAGCAAAGTAACTGGCTGGTTGCTACTGCTCGCTGTTGCTGCTGTGGTGCTTGTTGAGGGCTGAAAACGGTTATGTAACAATTGATTTTGCACTTAAAATTCTGTCAGAGTAGTATTCACAGGCAGTAAGGATTATTAAAACAATTACCTGGACAATTTGAGCGCAGGGTTGCGTTACGACTTGCGTGCTGGCTACTGGCGAAGGGTGCTGTTGTGGCACCTGCGAAACATCCCGTTTGATGAATACATTTAGAATTCTACTAAGCTATATCAATAACAAAGTAAAATAAATAAATATACTTTATTCTCTTTAAAATTATTTAGATTCGTGAAAATTTATTTTTGGTTGTCTGTCTGTTTGTCGTGATTCTACAGTGTTCAATAGAGCATAACTGAGAAGAACACCCAATAAACTCAGTCCGGCTTTTTTAAACTTGTCTTATAAACTAATACATTGTGAATTTATTACCTTAGGGAGCAATTCATATTACTGCCAGGCGGTCTTGTCATTAAAGAAATCGTTTAGACAATAATACGCCTTTTGAGACAATCTAAATTTTATAACTTTTTTAAATTTATTTATCGATAAATTTGACACCTCAACTGGCAATGTATTGTACATACGAATACAATTCCCCGCAAATGAATTAGATATTTTAAGGATAGCTAGGTTATCCTTATTTCGTAAGTACAAATTATGCCTATCACTATTCTTGTTAAACTTGCTTTTATTCTAATGGGCATACAATACATTTTCATAAATATACTGCGAGTACACAGGAAGTATGCCGATATTTTTAAAGGTATCTCTTAATGACTCCCGAAATCCCATACCATAGATAGCCCCGACCGGACCGCCCTTTTTTTGCAACACAAAGATACATTCAATGTCGGCAGCGTTACCCCACAGTAGTATCCCATATGTCATAACATTGTGGAAGTAGCTGAAGTAGACTAGACGCGCTGTTATAATGTCTGTTAATTGTTTGATCTTTTTTTACGGCAAAGGCTGCAGAACTGAGTTTGCTCGAGGCTTTCCTAAAATGAGATCCCCATTGTAGTTTGGAGTCTAACGTTATACCCAGAAAGACAGTTTCATTGACCAATTCTATCTCGTCGTCCCTCACCTTAACACTGGCTTTAGCTAACCTAACATTAGGTAAAGTTAATCTGATACATTTAGTTTTGTTGCCATTTAAGAGTAGGTTATTAACACTAAACCAATGGACTACTCTCGAGAGGGAATTGTTTACATCGTCAAAGCTCGCGTTGTCCACGTTTAACTTTAAATATTAAAGACGTATCATCAGCAAACAAAACTATCTCGTGATCGTCTCTTATGAGGCGAGGGAGATCATTTATGTATACCAGGAACAGAAAAGGTCCCAAAATTGAGCCCTGCGGCACCCCCATCGTTATGGCAGAACCGGGAGACTGTTTTCCATTTATAATAACTTTCTGGACTCTATTACTAAGGTACGATGATATAAAATCTAAGTAAATTATTCACTCCATGACCTCCACCGTAACAAAAAACCTTAATTGCATTTATTATTACTTTAAATGTTGTTTGTATTTCGTCACGAGTCGTATACATTAAACCTTTTTAAAATTCAGACCAGAAATAGTTATTCATTTGCAACTACAACGTTTCGGAATCTTTATGGTCGTCGTGATCACGGGGAATCCCCGCGTCCAAACGCTCTATTTCGTGTTTAAGTAGTTGAAAAATTGTGTTTTTGTATAGAAAATCTTGTAAAATAAATTACTTACAGTGACCGGTTCTGCAGGTGGGTTGGTCCTGATAGTTTCCTCTTTCAAGCGGTTAAACTTGATGTCCTGTCGAGGGACTATATCTATCAAGAAATCAAATTGGTCTGAACGGGATATTGCCATTGCTATGTCGTTACGCTGGAACAAGGAATTATTATTATTTTTTAATAATATTATCAGTATCATTAAAATATATTTTTATATTGAAATTCCGATTACGGAAGGACCATTCTGTAATGTATGCCCTCGGTCTGTATAAGTATGTTATTTCATTATTATATAATGGCACTTTTACTTCTAGTAGTAGGCCCCCCAGTCGATATGGAGAATTAGTCAAATTATGTTGACTGATCAATTGCAGTCATTAATAGAAAAATATAAAAATATTATTATGGTATTATCTTTCGTTTCACCATAGATATAAATAAAAAACCCATTAACGTTTAAATGACTTGATGGATGTACCTGTAGTGTCCGCCGCTTATTATCTTCCGTGTGCGACCAGGCCCTCAATGTGAGCTCATGAATGAAAATCTCGCAGGCCTTCGCGAAAAGCACCGGCGCTTCTGCGGAAATCATTTTCACTTCTTCGTCTAATTTCATAATTTTTTTAATACGGGCCAGTGGTAACACTTGGGTTTTAAAGTCCTCCTGGAAATTAAAATCTTTATTACATTAAATAACAATCAGATTTAATTTCATATATTTCTTTGTTCCATAGCTCAGCTCAGCATAGTTCAGCTTTTTGTGCAATAGAGATTCCTTGAAACCAGAAAACAAATATAAGTCTAGTCTCTTCGGCACATACAATATAGTAAACTTACAGCTGTAACTTTCTTGACATCTTCATTGACTTTTGCCCAATAGCTAGTCAATGTTGCATGGATACTGTTAACCGGTGATTCTTCGACACATTCAGTCTCTGTATCGTCTGCTTCTACTGTTTGCCCTTCTTGTTCCCTAAGTATAAAGAATATTTTTGGAATTTTTTACTTTTAGGCTAATATATTTTGCTCCTGTGTGTGTTAAATATAAAAATAAGTAGAAACGTATTGATAAAAATTTAATTTTGATGCAGTAAATTATTTTAGCAGACTAACACATAAATAATGTAATATAAAAGGGGCTATATAGGTACAACAAGATTGATGTTTTGTAAGTTCACATGTATTATTAAGACTTATTTTCAATTTCATTAAGTAAGCATAGTAAATAAGTTTAATTTTCCAAGTAAAAAAAGTTAAATCATATCAAAGTACAAGTTTTGATAAGTGAGTACACTAATGATAACATTTTGATAAATACCTAAATCAAAGTATGTTATTAGTTTATATCTTTTTATAATAATACTCTACTAGCTAAATAGTAAAGAGGTTTAATTTGTTAATTGTAAATAAATAATAAGTTGTGCCAAACTCGAAAATTATAGATACGAATTTACTTACGCAGGTACAAAGAAGCACACGGACATCTTGATTTCACTTAGCGATGGATCAAGGACTACGCAATTTGAAATATCTTTTAGCTTTCCTATATTTTCCTAATTTCGTCTAAAACATAATAAGAAGATTAGCCGCGACGAAAGTTATTAAAACACGGTAACCAATAATCAGTGCAATATTTGGAGATCTCCAATCAACAATTACTGAAAATCCGCCAGTTCCACGATTCGTCCGCCGATGACCAGTCACAAGCTTGACGTAGTACGGTGTTGCTATATTCCGCTTCCGGTTACATTAATTTAATCAGTAATTGTATAAGTTTATAATTCTTACTAATAAATATTTAAACAAATACGTGATATTTTTACACGGTTTGTAATATTATCAAAGTTCCATAAGCGATTTTCTCTTTAACTTTGATTTAAATATATTTATTTCAATTATAATCGAGAATTAAAGTCGTAGATGGCAAACTCAAACAGGAAATAAAATTGACGTATGAGTAATGATGTCATTGACGAAAGCTAAGAGACGTCATCGATTGGCATCCTAGTAAAATGGCGGCCGCTGAAATAGTATCAAATACTTCGAATATAGCAAAAATAGAAAGGTTTGTTAAGATTTATGAATAACTAAATGAAGTTTTAATCGTGTTTTCTTTGTTACATTAAAAGTTCGAAGTTAACACTAGTTGTATTGTGTTTAAACTTAGACACACATTTATGGGTGTTAACTTGGTAATTTTTCAGTTTTCTTAATGACCCTAGCTACAAAGAGATTATCGAGAACTCCTCAACGTTTAATTCACGACTATGTGCCGAAAGGAGGATGCGAATGCCATTTATCGACACCCAGACAGGTAAAACAGTTTGTTATGGTTAAATCTATACATAGTAATTTTGTTATATCTTGTTGACTAGATTTCTGGTTTGTAAACAAAGTAATGTTTTTGTTTTTATTATGGCTTGTAGGTGTCGCCCAGAGTCATTCCAATTTATTCATGACAAAAAAGCAACGGATGCCAGGAGCTAAAGAAGGCCAAGTGTACACTTACCCATCACAACGGTTGGTTCTATATTTTTATTATTTTACTTTCATTAAAACCACCTAATGTGGACTCGTAAAGCCTGTGGTCTCAGTGTTGCTTGGAGATTTACTTTTTTTTTTAATATGTTACCTATCACCTCTCAGAATACCATATTATGTACAATACATAAACCCAACACACCACATTACCCACAATATTCAAATGAAAATAATGGAGTTTAAAAGAGACACAAAATTATTTTATTTAGTCCATCTTTAATTTTACACTTAAGAGCAAGGACTAGGAATAAAAAGTTGTGCAAATAAAATATGTTATTCTCAAACATGACATTTATTCATAAATGGGTTCTGTCTAAACCATAAAAAATGCATTAGTAAAGAATATTAAATTGCAAAAACTTTTCAACATAGCAAAATTGTGCGACTGAACTAAGAAAACCCTTCAAAGCAAAATAATAATTATATGAATACATATTTCAGTCTGATAGTTGGGACAATTAAGTCTAGATCATGAAAGAATATAAAAAGAAGACTTAAACACAATATATATGTATTAGTTAAAATGATTTTCTTATAAGTTTTACTAATCACTCAAAACCCAAATCGGAAATGGGTGAAATGGTTGGCTGATAACGTGGACTGATCACCCGTCGTACCACAGGTGTCCCTGAGAATAATAATAAATATATATATCACATTTTAATTGTTTTATTCAAATGTATACTATTTGCGTAAACTACAGACAGTATTTATAGGAAGACTACTAAGAAGAACAAATACATGACTAGTAGTCATGTATTTCTAATTGAATTCATTTCCAAACTACAAACTACTTCTACTAACAACTTAAAGTACATCTATCTTTGATTAATGCCATCTTAAATCATGGTTTAAGTTTAACATATCTACTCTCTTTATTGATCATTTATAAACTATTATAAATGTTTATTGTAAATTGAGATATGATTTTACTATATATTTAAACACCCAAAGTGAGTCTCCGATTTATTTTGTAATCTATTCTTCTAATATACTTTGCTAATAATAAATAATTTTCTTAATTTTAAGATGGCGAAAAGCGCGCCGCCAATACCTTACTATGTCATCGACACGCTGGGGTTGGTTAAGAACTGATACTGCAGAGAATGTTGGTGAAGGTGAGAACAGCTCTGGAATACCCGACGGTTTAGCAGGGGAGGACAGTCGGGATGGCTCCCAGACAGCTGCTAAGGATGATCCAAAGGTACATATGTTTGAATACTTATACTGTTATATTATTATATAAATAAAGCAATAATTATATAAATAAATAAAAACTATTTCATATTCAAATTATCCCACTGTCCTGCATGCACGATTTTTAAATGCTTACATGCGCCTTTATAAATGCGCCCACCAAAGTCAATGACGAAATTTTAGCTTATAATTTACTTTTTGTATAACATTTGGATTGTGGACAAAAAAAAATTCCAGGAATGGTTCTATGATGAACTGGCGATGGAGGAGATGGAGACGGGTGAAGAACCTGAAGCCGAATCTGATGAAGACTACTATGACGATACTTACGCGAATCGGCGCAAGCGACGCGGCGGGGCGACGCCCAGTGGTCCAGGGTCTAGGGGTGGAAGAACTCGCAAATCTCAGCCCGACGACGCCACGCCAAAGCGAGGACGAGCCGTAAGTGTAAACAATATGTTCTTAAATAATAATAACTTATGAAGAATAAGAATTAATAGTGACTTTTTCACGTTCCAGGGCCGCGGTCGAAAACGCGCCGGCCAAGGCACCTTACCATACGAAGTCCCCGGCGACGCTGAAAAACCCTTCGGCTGCGAACGTAAGTCACGAAGGAAAAACTAGAGTTAAGACGATACATATTCGTATAAGCCTCGCTAGCAAAGATGCAGAACGCTAGTGAATAGGAAACATGAATCGACATATACAAATTAATTTATAGGAACAAAAAGCGAAGTGCGGGTAGTTTTAAAATTTTTATGACTTAGATCTTGAGGCCTGAGCGACTCGGTAGTTTACACAGTTAGGAATCTGTTTTAATATTCTCAATTTCAAAATGGTTTTCTATCCGTTTTAAATTGTGCACATATAATGAAAAGCAGTGGCCGTGGTCGATCATGTTGTGTAGTAATTTTGAAGCACAATATCTTCTAATCTCGATACTTGTTTAGGAAGTGATGCAAAATTATATAATTCACGAAATACCTCCTTGGGAAAATAATTTTACTACAATATTTAAAATTTAGCTTTTCAAACGACTTATTTATATGAATTTTATTGTTTTGAAACCAGAAAATCTCAAAAAATATTTTAATTTATAATTTGATAAACTTTACTTGAACCCTGGCATCACATTAGTGTTAAGCTCAGTATAAATATGGTAGAGGCAGGGAAAACTATGCATTGTCACTCACTAACATTTACATACAGTGACAAAAATACACAGTGGGGGGAGGGCGGTTGATAGTCTACTCTTAATAATTCCCACACTAACAACTTAATGTTTAATTTCTAGTGTCATTAAGCCAACGATATAACCAAAAACAATAGTGTATCCAGTATCGACGGTTTTATACAAATAACGACCATATATTAAAGAGCTTAAACGCTAGATTTGTACGTGCAATAAATAGGTTAAAACGCGCTCAACAGAAAGGTGGGCTTAGGCCATTGCAAAAAAAACCGGGCATGTCTCGTACATTGGCAGGTGGAGGTGTATTTAGCAATATTAGGAATTCGCCTTAGATAATAATATTGTAGGCATAGGATAGTTATTTTAGCCATAGGTTGAAAGGTAGTGAACGTGGCTCCAAAAAAAAGGATGGCAGTTAAAATCCACTATTTCTATTGTTATTCAACAGATGGCGTTGCTTTTTGACGTTTAGGTTATACATCTGTCAAACTTAGGTACCCACGTTTTGTGCTTATCTCCGATTTCAATCTAATTAACGAAATTCTATATATATATAACATAGAAAACGTCATCTGAAATTCAGAGAACTGCATGCAAGCGCCTTTAGTATTGGAACCGATCATAGATTTGGTCAAAAATAGATTTATACTTGAGTCACAAAGCTAATTATTAGTTTACTTGGGTTATCTTGCTGTAGTAAAAAATTTTGGGAATGTCGTAAAGTTTGTGTCGGTAAAAATTGCCTTTTTACATGTAAATCTATCTATCTTGTAATATATTAGAGTATAAGCGAATCTCACAGTGTAGTTTTTTAGGTATATTAGGAGAGATGCGTAAGAAAATTATAACCCCTCTAGTTTTTAGTTTGAAAAGTTCACTGAAGGTTTTATGTTATCTAAAAAGTAAAATCTAGTATTTGCATTTAATCATAGCTAAAGAATGCCCCTAGAAGACAATTGTCAATTCACGAAAATTGATTTAATATCAGGGTGCCAATTTGATTTTTTGTTCAGTAAAAAAAAACAACTAGCTTTTAGTTTTATTTTTTAAGGTTTAAATATTACTGCAAAAACCATTTTAATAAGGTGTTTGGTCTTTGATTTGATCGGCAGTCGTCATTGAGAACTTGCTCACCATTTACATTGATGGAATGTGATGGGTTGAATAAAAAACCTAAATTTGTACTGTACAAGAATAGGTTTTCTACTTTATTTTGGGAATATTTTACTAATATGCCCAAATTTAAACCTGCATACATACCATTCTGAATTATCTATTTTTACTTTGTGTTTGTCTAAAAAGCTGATTCCACTTTTTGCATAAAAAGCACTGGGATTCTTGAGTTTCTGGCAACTCGCAAAAGCTTAGTCTTCATGGATTCAGCTGTTACCACACCAGAGCTTTCAAGTGCTATTGTCATTTGTTGATACATCTCTGGCAAGCCGACCAGCAACAGGGTCCCGAGCCATTTGTCATCCACTCTAAAACCAATGTTCCTTAACTTTCAGCAGCTATCATAATCTTGTTCACATAATATTCTTTATTCAGACAATTTACAAGGGTTGCATTGTAAGGATCTCTCAACAGAGCAACTCGGTGTGTCAAACCGTTGTCATTTAACGCTTGTGCTAAGTTATACCAAACTTATTTAGTTGTGTTGGCTTTTTGTATATCTACATAATTGATTGGATGTACAAACAAAATAAGTTTAAGAGTTTGAATCAAGTTTACATCTCCACAAGTATTCTTGTTCGAGATAGTTTTGCATTGCAAATCCCTATGTAGGATAAATATCACTTTTTCATCCCATTAGCCACTGCAATCATATTGATTGACGACATTTTTGCTGATAAAGTATAATACAATACATGCTGAGTTTTTACGAAGTAACAAGTGAAAATAGGCGGTCTAGGTCCACAGACCGTTAGATTAAATAAAAATACAACAGATGGCGCCATCTCTCAATAACGACGACCACACAACTCGAAAAGCTATCTGAATAGCTTTTTAAAATGGCTTATACAATGTTTTCTGCTCCTACACAAGCGCGGAAACATTTTTTAATTTGTTTTATTGTATTTTTACCATGAAGTAGTAAGGTTGCGATAATAGTAAGCTCATTCTTTAAAGCTAAAGCGAATATGTTGCATTTAGGCTAATAATTTGTTTGATAACGTTTTAGCGCTATTTTAAGGATAGTTTTAATTTTTGCCCACTCTAGCGTATCTATAAGTAATTCGTCTGCTATTTAAAGGTATGTATTCTAAAGTAGGATAATATTTGCAGTTTTATTCCGTGGTTAGATTTTCTGACGTCGCTATTGTATTTCTTTCTCTAGTGATGGCACGACACTTTCGTTGTTATTGACACGTAGGATCTACGATAACTATACTACATTATGTTGGAACTATTGAGTCCAATTTCTCATAAAAATCTCTCTGTCGGCCTCGTCGGTTTCGAATGTTAGCAATATATGGACGTTGATAATTATTAATCAACGGGTCGGTTTGATCCCCACCGGGTCGAATAGCAAAAATAAATTCATGATTTGTATTAAAACACTTGACTCCCTCTGGGAAATGCGTGGAAAAGCCTTTTTTGGTTTCAGTCTGTGGTTTTTCGGATGCCTAAAGCCACAAGAGGTGTGAACCCCGTGCTTGTATGTCCTCCATCATAAAAAAAACACTTTGTCAAATATTTTATTCCGTCACTTATTTTGTTGATTTAATGAGTAATATCCTTGTCGGGTCATATCAATTCTCATTCTCACCCGAGACCCGCCGGTCCAACGAGCGCGTTCGCTCTCGTCAATTACGAAACTAAAGTTCAAAATCTCGCACTGAGATAGAGGAACACCAATTAATATTTAAAACACTGCCACGAAAATGTACCAACCCCGTGTTTAGAGTAGGATTTGTTAATACCTAGTTTTTAGGTTTAGGTAGGTTTTTCAGCGTGTTGCGTTCGACTAAACAGATCAATGATTGAGGGACGTAAAGGACGTAAAACTTACATACAGCTGACGTGACGTTATGCATCAGAATGGTATCGATCTAGTACTAGAATGGATGGAAGCGTTCACATTTGTAGTTTCTGGTTGGTTCTGACGTCAGGGCGGAAGATTTATGACACGAAATACATTATAAAAATTATATAAGAATGAGTCTAATAAGACAACTGCCATCGTTAACAGACTGTAATGAGATAGTAAAACTCTATTTCTTTCTCTAAAATAATATTAAGATGAGTCCAATACCTTTTGAATCTTTTGGTATGTTTTCTTAAGAATCAGAATACGAAGACTACTAGTGGAGGAATATGAAAATGTTTTACTTGTCCTATACTTACGGCTGTTATAAAGTTAAACATTAGCTTTCACGTCACAACATGTCACGTCAGAACACTCCCGACCGATGTTAATCCGCCCTATGTTGTCGAATTGAGGGCGTAAAACAAAAAGCTCCACCACTTATCGTATAACTCGTTACCGGTCACAAAAAATTGAATATTTTTCGTAGAAATTTAAAATTGTATCCAAATATAGAATTAATTTAAGCCTCTAGAAAATGGCTTAAATGAATTATATTCTGAGTTTCTAATCGTAATCGATTCGAAATGATAACAGTCCCTACATATACATAATAATCGCAATTCGATTATTCGATGAAGCGAACGCAACAAATATTTATTGCTATTTTTGAAAATTCTTGCGTTCTTTTCTCTGTCCACTGACTTTTGGTCTTAGTTTTAAAAATGGCAATAGATACTACGCTGAAGATTCTGTTTGAGGTACAACGGATTTGAAACTATAAAAAGATACAAAAGGCTTAGGTTGTTGAGTGTGTATAAACGTAATTGATATATGAATAGTCCAAGTCCCTGTACCTCAAACTTTCTTTAATAAACAATTCTTATGAGTAGTCACTTGAATCTTCACACAACTCTTTTGCACTGATTTGGTCCCATTTCACTCATGTGTCTGTGATACTTCTTATTTATTTAATTTCTCGTGAGGAATTGACTTTTTGGCAATGACTAAAGTTTTGCGGTGTACATGGACTGTGCCAAAATGCACGGAGACTGCTTCCAGGTTTAATACATCGAACACTTTAGATCTTTTCATTTCTACTGTATGGAACTCAAAGAATACCTTATTTCAATGATGCAGTCTCTAACAGATAAAACAAACTCTACAATACAATCCGAAATTAAGGGGCCATATGCACCGAACAGTTTACCCCAAAGCAGTGACGCAAAACGTCTGGGTACTATGTCCCCTAACCAAAAAAGTGTCTTCCATATTCGAGAGAATTGCTTGCAACGTGTACATATCTCTTTGACGCAGACATCTTGACGTGAGAGCGAGATGGACGGATTTCCGGTCGCGCGGTTTGACACCTGTCAAAATTCTCAAAATGGCTCGTGTTAATAATTTTTTGTTTGGGTTAAAGATATTAATTTTACATCTTAATAGCAAATATCTCTACGAAATTACAAGTTGTCAAACCTCGTCCCAGTAAAATTTTAGTCATTGTAGTGTTTATGTTAATGTTTGGCTAATAATAATTATTTATTGTATGAAAAATCGAGTGCGCAGTGAAGTTTTAGGGGAATCGATGTTATTCTTAGATACGTTGGTGTGGAAAATCCAATTGTTCTAAGTACGACTTAGTTTACGAAAATGTGAAAAGTGAAAGGATTAAATACAGCCATGACTTGAAATTCAATTAAAAATATATAAAGCACTTTTAACCACGACCACGGCTCCACGCTGCTAAAAACTACGTCGGGTCGTATATTTTGCGATTTGAACCGTAAACACTGTTTATTTACTGTATTCAATCGTTTCGTAAACTAAAAGCCCGTACTAAAGCCTTGTTATGAATACAAACATGTTTCTTTTTAATTTGAAATAGTTATTTCGGTTGTATCTTAAGTATACATTTTTGATTCAAAAGTTGTTCTAAAGACTTAAACATGTTTTATATTCGGCTCAAATTGTTGCATCGAGTGGTCTACAAATTGGATTTTACCACATCAAAACTTAGATTCAAACTATTATTAGCACCCAAAGATTGTTATGAATTTATACAAGAATATTTATGTTGAATAAGAAATAAAAGTATGCAATTCAATGATATTCAAATGTTTTTTTGATATGACAATCAAAGTTGTTAAAAGTAATGTGTACTAAACGGCCATTTTGTTTATCATGTAAGTTGTTATTTGTAATGGAAGAATTCTAGGCACACCGTTAAACAATACACGTCATATTGTAAGTCTCTATAAAGTGGTAGAAAATACTTATGCCTTCATGTTCAAATAACAAAGGTTTTTGTTATGAAATTTTGATTTCAACTATTCTGTATAACTGCCTCCGTCATGTTAGGTTAAACTAAAAACTAGAGTTTCTGTGTCCAAACCCTGGGGAGACAACGAATCGACCAAAACTATTGTCCTCATACCCCACAAGAGAAACAGAAATTCACTTATGTAGACGTATTTGTTGTACGGAATTGTATTTCGTCTCGTGTAGTTAGGTTGCTCAATAGCACGTTGAATGCGGTCTCAGTAAATGTCCGGTATACACAAGTGGTCGCTTAGTACACATTGTCGACGGCGGGCAGAACCATTGATTTGAAGTCATCAATCAAACTACCCCCCGGAGTCTACGTCTTTTAGAACCGAACATAGACATCACGACGGGCCGTCAATTTATATGGGAGCTACTCGATTTGGTTGCATTGTCCCACTTTTAGGACTAACAGATTCCAATACATTCCATAAAGTAAAATTAAGTCCATAAACAACCGCTGCCTTTTGATGATGAAACCAAATCGAAAACGTCTTGCCCGAGACCAATTGACGCTAACAAGAATACGCGATGACGCAATTGGTCCTGGACAAGACAGCTCCCATATTCGTTGGTATTGATTGATGACGGATAATAAATGGAATGGCAGCGCAAGACTTCGGTTACCGTCGCGGTGCCTCCTCTATGCTCAGTTCTAAGACGTAGGCTCCAAATCCCTCTCTGTATTGATAAGTTGATGTGTGAGCTTGTGCGATGGAGGCACCACGCGGTAAGTTGAAGTTGTTTTTGTATAAGGGTCGTTTTTCAATGCACTATTGCGGAATTATAAAATACACGTATGACGAGATTTAACAGAATAGAAAGGTTTTATCAATAACCAAGCGCGTATGATAAACAAGCACAAACATAGCAATACCGACATATTTTAAACACCCAGATTTAACATCCTCGTCTTATTTATAAAATTGGCTGGCTGATTCGTTTTTGCACCGTATAAAGTATTTCTGTTACCTTTCATAGGTCGAAACATTCCCTTTAATCTAAATTGAAAATCGACTCTTAGATATCTTAATACATTCGTTCATTAAGATAAGCAGTGTATTTGAAAGTATTTTTTGTAACGTAGTGTGCGGCGCAAAGTACAAGACCCGTCCCGGTCTGACGTACCACTTTACGCACACACACAAGGACCCGGGCGGCGCAGGCGCAACCGGAAGCGATAACGACTCGCGCGACAGCCGCCCCGCCCACTCACCCGCCCCCAATCAGCCAGCCACAGAGTATCAGGATAGTTACGTGACGTTTCTGAACAACCCCGCTGGCAGTGAGTATTTTCGATGTATCGTAGTAGTAGAAGTGGTTTTTACCCTGGTCTTTGTGTTGCTAGACGTATCCATAGAGTATGTATCTTCCCGCTTTAGACTACTCAATTTAATGGTGTGTTTGTTTATTTCACGACGTAAAAATTAGTTAGGTGACAACTTTGCTTTCAATTAAATTAACCTCATGCTTGTGTGTTCGCTGTAATAAAAAATAATACTTAATAATGGTACTGTATAACCCACAGTATTTTTTACCTTTATGTTTTGTCATATTCACTGAATGAACTGTGGCTCTAGACCGATACAGATCCGATCCCAGGTCTTTGGGACTTTTTGTTATTTGGATCTTCTTATTATTTTGTATCATAATAATTTTAAACTGATTTCTGAATTAAATGTTTATTTACCAAAAATACCTTTTTCAGCACCATCAACAGTCGCGGCCCCACCTCCACCACAGCGTCGGCCGTCACCCCCTCCGCGGCCTGCCTCCGCCGACACGTCGTCGTCGGACTCTGCGCAGGCGCCCCTCGTGCCTCCCCCGGACGCCGCAGTATCGACCCCAACGCCCAGTGCGAGTACACCCGCTGCTCGAAGCACTAAGAAAACAGCTGATGGAAAGGTATCTAATGACATTCTTGATACATAAATGAACTGGCATATGTATAGTAATTATTATATAATGGTTTATTTTTCTTTTTTTAACGACTAAACACATCAAATACTGTTAAGTAGTATTTTTTTATTTATTTATCGTTATACCTTAAAGACTAAACACATTGTTATATGAGGCATCTAGAGGCAGAGTGGCGTAACTGCAATGTTTATGACTCAACTTATTTATTTTTTTATAGTCTAAAATTGCTAACATAGTTCTTACACCATGAAAAGTACAAATTCATTTTTGCCGACGTTAAATGCGCATTTTTATTTTCTTTCTTGAAAATCATGTTTTTTGTTATTAGACTTGCTTCAAACAGCCTCTTATATTCTGTATTACAATGTGCAACTATAAAAGTAAATCCTATTGACATTAACTACCAACGTTATTGTAGTTAACTTTTTGAAATTTCAGCCATCACCGTCGCCGTACTGCGATTTCTGCCTCGGCGACGACCGCGAGAACAAGAAGACAGGGACGCCCGAAGAGCTGGTCTCTTGCTCCGACTGCGGAAGATCAGGTAAGCGGCGGGGCCGACCCCCGCGCAACGGTCACAAGCCCTGCTACCACCTCGCTAACAGGGTTTGCGAGACCCACAGACACCTCCGCGACATCAAACTCAACGGAGTCGTGGAGATACTCACCTCCATGTCGTATTCCGCCGACGATTTCGACAGTTTCGCGTCGAAAACGAAATTGTTGGAGAATTACGATTATGGCGACTACACGACGCCCCCCTCCTCGAGACAGAGTCCCGCCTATGAGAGTGTTGAAGTAAAAATTAACGGTTTCAATTGAAGTACATACGGGTTGCTGGGTAGATAATATTTGTAGTATCGCTACTATTGTAAGGAGCTCTTTAGTAATTACCTCTAAAACAATTTCACGGTCCATCCCTTTATCACCTACGTTTAGCGTATCGTCGCGTTCCCAACCTCCCCCTTACTAAACGACCTATGACCTATGTAGGTCAGACTTGCAATTTTTAAAAAATTACTACTATAATCGAAGGACCAAAGAGCGATTTAAAGTTATTAAGCTACATACATTTTATAATTACTCATATATAAAATAAAAATGCAAACTCTCATATAAGTCGATGTCTAATTAATATTTTTTTATGCATTTTACTTAGCAACCCTATTAGATAAAAAACAAGTTGTTTATCGTGTTCTGTGGTCACATCAACAATTTTGCTTCAGCACTTATTGTGGTACTATAGATATGGCTCTGATTTCTTATAACGAATCGTTAAGATTACTATTGAACCAAGAAATTTAATTGTTTGAGACTAGTAACATGTTATGTCCCATAGTGTTACTACAGTCTTGGGTTTCGTTATAAAAAGTTAGACCTCTGTGGCGGCTTTTGCTTTCTACCAAAGATGTTTGTTTGGGTCTCGTGCGTACATACATTCCAGATATTACATTATTAATTTTTATTTACACATTATGGCTCACGACAAAGTTATTGTTCAGAGTACTCGATGTGGGGACATTGAGTATTCCCTACAATAGTGTACCATACTATTAGACTGTGCTTAAATTAGGATGATAATTTTAAGAGTTTGACATATTAATGAATAATTGAATGGAACAAATTTCTTCAATAATGCCTATTCAATGCTCCTTACGAAAAGGAGTAAAGTTTACGCTACCAAAAATGCAGTACTCACAAACTGTCAAAAATTATCATCCTATAAAGTTTCAAGTACATAAATTACTCTTTTAAAAAAAAAATAGCTTTGTCCTGTTGTCATTTTGGATATTCATATTTTATTATTTTAAGTACACCTAGATTTATATAGGTTTTGTTGTATTGTATCGTTATTTATACATTAATATATGAATTACCGATTGGTATATTGTATTAAAAATTAGAATTATATTAAGCGTTGAATGTTTTAATGTTCATTAGAGATGTCAATTAAGTACTTACGTATAAATGTAATTTGTGATCCTCTGCCATGTGTTTGGATGCCAAATATGTTAAAATCTTTAAGACTAAGAATTCACTGAAGTGTATCTTGTCATCTTAAAAACTACGCCAAATGTAAAAGTTATATATTTTTAAACTTGTCACAAAGTTGTTATTATCAGTCATATTTGACTCACGATGAAATGAAAAAATCAAAAAATAAATAAAAAGCTTTGTCAGGTGTGGGGTTCGAACCCACGCTCCCTCTCGGGAACCAGAGCTTAAATCTGGCGCCTTAGACCACTCGGCCAACCTGACTTATCTGCAATGTTTGAAATGTGTAACCGTATTTCAAGTTAAAAAGCTGAAAAATAATTTAGAACAGTTACTTTAAACATTTCTTCTAGAGATCTCGAATAAAAATATTCTAATTAAGACTTATAACTGTAAAACGACAACGATGATTATCAAATTCATCTAGTCAATGCACCAAACCTTAAAAATGGGTCCAGTATGTTTTTCTAGATAGATCTTTTATTCAACCTCTAAGATTAAGAGAAGACCCGAGAGCTTCTTAAGTGCCTTTTATATAATTTCAACTTTGCAACGCAATTCGTTGCTAAACTTGATTACTTAAAGTGAATTAGGACAATTTTTGATCTATGTGAAGTTTCAAATATTACTCAAACATTTATAAAATATTTGCAAGAACAAATTCCAAAGAGTTCCCTTTATGTTTAAAATAAAATTTTAGTTAACCCTATAGTACTGTTATGTATCATTCCTAAAATAGTTTATACGTGTTGTTTTATTTAAATTTTAAGTTTGCGTGTGACCAAATTTTTGGCTATGTTATCTTTATAAGGTGTTACCATGTCTTGGAATATTTTATTAAGCTCTCACGATTTATGTATCGTTGTATTGTAATTGTGAATTAGATGTTCGTGGAAGTGTTTAAGTGCAATTTCCTAGGTGCCTTATTTTCATGCAAAATCCTTTTTAAAACGAAAGTACTTAAACGGTTTACAACGCGAAGTGGAATTATTTTTCTGGTGTTTCTGGAACCTTGATGATCCACAGATAAATAAAACAATCGCGTTGTAAACCGTTACAGTCCTGTACTGATGTAAACTTGTTCGTTAGTATAAAAACAACCCTTAAAATATCCAGAATTTAATAAGTATACAAATATTATTTATTATTTTTAATTTAAAATGGCGGTTTATCGAATTCCGCAGACTTGAAAATTCAAAGGTATATTTTTATTTTCAATGGTTTATATTTTTATGTATACATAAAATGAACGGAGGGTTCAATATATATTTTTAATGTTATAAATCGATACGATATGTTTATGATTAAGGGCATTCTGATACATATTTGATCAAGATCTGTGCATTTTGATAACTCAAGGTTACTTAGTCAATTAGCAATAGTTAATTAATAATTTGTTTCACTATATCGAGTAGGGAAGTGCATATTTCGCGAATCGAAAACACCTTGCAATGTGCGGCATTTTTTATAACATGCATTTTCTAGTTGGCTTTGGCTACTTTTAAAAATCAAAAGTTTCTTTCCAGCCAGTCAATTGAACATCTTGTCTCTCAAAATTCTATAGTCTATGGTGTTAAATTCTATACCAGACTAATATCGCTGTCACAGAATATCCCCGATTTTGTAAACGGCGTGACCTTTTTGTTCAATAATTAAAGTGTATGAGTTAAAATCTGCTTTTTATTGAGTTATTGTGCTGAAGAATAGTGAATTGCACTTCCTTACTGGTACGCCCTGTTATGTAATGTCAACGTTGAAGTGATTTGGTTTAGTTTATTTATTTTTCACTATTGTTCGGCACATTTTCACCTTATCCACCTTTTTGGCGTTTTCGAACTAGTGCTGATCGTTGATACGACGAAATGTGCCAAACAGTAAGTGATTTTTATTTACCTATGTTTTGTTACACAATTACACCAATTTAAAAACGAATAATAATCAAATAAATTAATAAACATTTTATTTTTGCATCAGGTCACCCCACTTGTCTGCAGTTCACAGTGAATATGATGGTCTCGATGCGCAAGTACCGCTGGCAATGCATCGAATGCAAGTGCTGTTCGGTTTGCGGCACCAGTGATAATGATGTAAGTACCTACAGTTTGATGTCATCTCGCGTTCAACAGTTCCCAATGCTGGGCCTAATACCTAGGATATTTTAAACTAACCACACAATAATTCTAATTTAATTTATATCTATTTATAAGGAAAACATTCCAATAGCCCACCAACATGTACTAGCGCTGCGTGGTCTAAGTCCTGAAAAGTTTAATATTCTTTACGTGTTATCGCACGTGATGGTACTGTATAAATTAAAAATCGATTTTACATTTAAAAAAATACGGCACGGACAGCACTCGAATCGTCATTCAGTGTCCAGGACACGGTAGCTCAGCTGCAGATGCCGTTTCGAGTCCCGCCTGTGTCGTAATTTTTTTTTCAAACTTTAATCGATTTTTATATTATATAGTACTTCGTATTGTATTTTCCCCCTAAATTAACTACAGGATCAGCTATTATTCTGTGACGACTGCGACCGTGGCTACCACATGTACTGCCTAGCGCCACCTCTGGAGACGCCCCCCGAGGGGTCGTGGTCTTGCGCGCTCTGCATCAAAGAGTTTCATCTTAAGGAGTGAGGTATACTGCACATGGCATATTCATAGGGTTGTTTATTTATTTTTAAATAATATATTTGAAAATAAGTACATTTATAAATAGTTCAAGACAAGACAATTTTGTTTCAGATAAAAAATACACTAATAACTAATACGTACAACGCAGTGAGGGCTCGACGCCATTTTGTTGAAGAGTCAATATGTATAAACTATGTTGCCATAGATTATGTAGTCTGTAGTGATAGACGGGCCGAGTGTGGTTAGTCTGTGGTCCACTAAATTACCATTTGACAATTTACACTTTTGTAAACGTTATTTTATTGTTAATTGTCACCTATCACAAAGATAATTAAAATTTTAATGTTCAAAAATTTTGTTGAAAACAAACTTATATCAATTCTCCAAAATCACAATCGGTCGGCAGTACATCTTGATCACATTCAATGAGGATGCATAATCATCTTTTGTCATTAAAAATCAGTGGTACTAATACCCAATCTCGAAAAAAACTTTATTTTTCAAAGTACATATCAAGTGCTCAACAGTCTTTCGGGCCACAGACTAAATTGTGTATTAAAGTATTCGTTTTATGCCTCTGTATATGTAAATAGTATTGCAAGTACATTTTAGTTTTTAATATTAAATGCGTTTGTGAAACTTGAAGTACAGCGGTAATGTACATTGCTTTAAAATAACGAATAAATTATGTACAGGCGACGCGGATGTCGGAGTGACAAACAGACAAATTCTTGATTAATAATTTGAGTATCTTCTGTATCTTTTGTTCTCACTATTCATTTTATATTAGTTAGTATTTAGTATATGTGCATATATTAAATCAAAATATTAAAGTTGCAAAATGGTTTACTAAGCGGGTTCTTTTCTTATTTGCATGTTTTTTACTCTGATCTCTGTCTTTGGCTTAAGGTAAGAAATATAGTCTTAAGTATTCAACGTTTCAATGTGTATACTTCATAAAACAGACCGCAAACACGATACATTAACAAACTCAATATATATTGTATCTGTGGCTTACACAACGGATACATATTTTTGAATTGATATTTTAAACTGTTAAAGAGGTTTTATTTAAAGTAAAGGAAATTAAAAAAAAAGGATTTCCCACATGTCATTTTAATTTGTGAAAATTTGAAGATATGTTGTCCTCTTCACATTGGAGTGACTAGAACAGATAAACGGATCGCTGTATTCTCCGGCTCGAATCTAGCTCGTGATTTTTAAACAATTTTTTTATGTGAACAAGCGATTTTGTTAATTGATCGTGTTGACGGTGATACGAATTAGATCGTGCTTTTATATTTTTGTATTAGAGTTTCTCTGAGAGAAGGTCAACCGTCTCCATACTCGGCCTAACTACTTATCGTACTGCAATTGAAAGTTGCCACAGATAGTAAATTCTACCTCTACCGGTGCTTGCTTTAGCATTTCTTCTTTCTTTTATATTGGGATGAGATACTGGTTTTATTGCAAACCGCGATAGGGCAGACGCTGATTACTAGATCTCTAAAGGCTTTTAACCGTTGCGAAAGAATAAAAAGGTCGGAAGCCTTAAAGATTTATTTTAATATCTTATTTTTCATTAACGTTGTGTTATATTGAAATTTAATTTAATTACGAATATTATGAAACTGATAAATTTAATTAAGTCTTTATTACTTAATTACAAAACATTGAACACAAAGACCGGTATCAAGTCCCGCAATCGCAATAACTTTTCCTGTAGTTCCTTGTGTTAGGCCCCCATTTACGCTTACAACGCATATAATAGCTTGTCTGCGGCGGCTGGGATTCGTTGTAGGAAACGAGTAAAAGTGTAAAATTCCATGAATGTGGTCTATAGGTTAAATTTGATTTGAACGATTTTTTTTTTGATATCTCAATCGTGTTTGGAACAAATTATTTATTACGTAAATCAGGTTTGATTTTTTTTTTCGTTTATTTTTAAATTAAAGGTGCGGGTAACCATTCTCAATTCAATAACATAGGTCAAGATATTTTTTTTTTATATGTTGACAGTGCCGTTGGGGAAAAAAAGTTAAACCCGACATAGTCATGTATAATATCACTTTCACACACAAGGTACAAAATTCATCTTATTGCGCAAGGAACTGAGCGGTATATGTCGTGCTCCCTTGCACTTGCAGCCGTCAATAAGAGAGAGTGAGAGAGGAAGAGATATTGTTGCGGACAACGCCATCTATGGATTAAAACAAGTACTATTTAATAATAGCCCTTAGGCATCAAGAATTAATTTTGTCAATCACTGTACAAAGTTGTACTATAGTTACATAAAATAACATTAAAACGCCAAAAAGGAACTTTCCATTTAGAATCCACAATAACAGATAAATCTATCTCTTTCGCGCACAATACATGGTCAATTTATTGGTTACCCGCACTTCTATTTGTCGTAATTTCGATATCGTTATAACTTCTAGTAATTTGTCGAATTAAACAGGTTTTAATATAGATCGGTAAGACAGCTCTGTGATCGGACTAGGTGGTTGTGATTTAGCGTGGGTTTGTGAATTTTTTTATTGCTTCTTTTTCTAGATTTGTAGGGTAGACGTATCCGAATTTTTGCTTTAAGTAACGAACAAACTATTCCAGGTTTTTCTATTTTTATAATTTGTAGTTGGCTTCTATTATTACATCGTTACATAAGATTGAAAGGAAAATCAACTCTGTTCAAATGTATTTAAAAATTGACGATAGCAATGTTTTCGTAACAGAAATTTTAACGTTGTAATAATTAGGAGACCGCATAATGCCGGCTCTACTTTAAATAATGTATATAAATAGTTTTAAATGTAAAATAAGATTTCCAGACATTGTGTCATAACTAAGTGTGGTGACGTAATTAAAGCACTTTGACGAAATATATCGTTTTATTTGTGTCATAGAAATTTCTGAAAAATGATTGGTCCTAAACTTGAAATTTTATACTTAACAGAAAGACAGCTGCAAATAATAAAATTGAATTTAAAAAAAAAACACTAACGGTTTAAAACGTAATATACCTAAATATATATATAAGTTAAGCTTATTTTAAAATTATTTTTAACTACGGCACGACATTTCGGAACCGTGGTCACGGGGAAATGGGGAGAGAGAAATTTTCAAATAAGTTCAACTAATATTTATCACGTTTTAAACAGTTAGTATTTTATATATATAAAATCTTAGTTAAAATTAATAGACAAATTGTTTAAATTTATTTATTAGAACAATTCACTACTTTGTATGAAACCAAACAATTGTTTTGGCATTAAACATCGAAAGATCTATGTATCAAAATTGCACATTCTAATTTATCTACTTCGTAAGCGCTTAACTAGTAACAGACCTAAAATAAAACTAACTTTGAAAATACAAAACTAAGCGTCATGTGTGTATTAAGTATAGAAAGCTAGTATTCTCTAGTGCTTTTCTGGGTTTAAAACCAACATAGCAACACACATGACATTGGTTTTGCCGCGTAAAATCTATTTATAAATTAACATAATATGTATATATTATAGGTAACAATATATTATCTATTTTCGATCACTGGTTAACAGTATAAAAAGTAACAAAATAAAAAACTAAGTTTGCGTCTATTGTTTTAAATTTTGTCTACTTAGTCAAACGTCATGGATTGCCATCACACATAATAAACAAAAAGGTCAAATCAAAGTCAAGACGTTCCTGTATTTTCAGTTGTGTATAAAACCGGTTTTAAACCAGGTCGCACCGACAACGCCAAACAAACGCGAAACGTCACTTACCGATTTAACATATTTTTTTATTATTTACATAACATATTTTAATATAACTTAAACAAGTAACATAAAATTTATCACTGACCATAGAATCTTTAATTACAATCTAGTGTGAGAAAACAAGGTCTGTTTGCAATTTAGGTATTATCTTCATACGACCTAAGACTTTAAGTAGTTCGTATCTGCGTGTATCCTAATTAAAAAATATATAGATAATAATATAATAACTTGTTCTTTAAATCATTCATCCTAAAATCAAATGAGATTTTTTAGTTAAATTTCAATATATTAGCCTGGCAAGTTCAAAGATGACACATTTGTGTGGCTTTTATTGCCTTTATGCCTACACAAATAAGATTATTCAAATAACACGTATATAAATTCTGTAGTTTTTAAATATTTTTTAAAATAACTCACAATAACATACAATTCATACTTTGAATGTCGTAAAGAATATTTAATGTCATAACTAAACATAATAATAATAGCTATAAGTAATATTTTAAATAAAATCATCAAATTTTAATTGAATCAACAACTTAACTACTGGAAGACATTCAGATTTCGTTGTTTGTCTCTTAATATCTAAAGCTTACATGTACTTATTATGTCAAATATTACTATGTAACACTTTCCTGTAAAAGCTAAGGGCGACACTTATACTAAGTCACTTTGAAATATGATTAAGTATTTTAATTTTGGACATTAAATCAATGTAACCAGACAGCCAAAGCTGTCTACGATATTTAATTTAAAATATAAAATTTTTAAAAATCTAATAGAAGATAATTTTGTTCGGTAAAATTAAGCATATCATCTTAGCTTTCTATGTTTAGGAGTTAAGATTATATTATATTCTCTAAATAACTTATTGAGCAAATCACATAGGTGTTTAGTCTATATCTAACGATTTATTTGCACGCCATCTATGTCTATCTTATGGCAACTAACTTAACTAGTTGAGCGCTGTCCTCCGTGAAGACATTAAAATATATTTGGTATTACAAAATGAAGCACCGTCCTATCACTGCAGATGTAAGGTCGTTGTTTATAGAAAATTTAAATCTAAAATTGTATAAATAACTATTAATTTGATAAACATTTTGAGGTTTAGTGAACATTTTGGCGCCAAAAGTAGTTATAAAAACTGACGCTAGAAGGCGCAACGTGGTTAAAAAACTCATATTAAGGGGCAATGAGTAAATAATACCGAATTGAGCACAGATTATAATTATTTAA